CAGATGATACAACAAGGAACAGCACCGCAAGCACCAATACATGAACCGAGAGCATTAACTATGTGCGAACAATGATTAGTTCTGATCTGCTAGATTGCGCAATAATTCTGAAGGGGTCTCAAACTTACTCATGCTTCCATACCATCCATTTGTACTTGTATCATCATCGCCTTGTAGAACTTGGGCATAGGAAGGTTGAAGATCTTCTCTTCTTGGTGGTTGAACGTTGATTAAAGGGCCTTCGGAATGAGCAGCTCCGGTACTGCGAGAATGATTGTATCCATTATGTTGAGCTGATGAATTAGCAGTGCCGGAAGTGGATGCGAATGGCTTATGAATACCATCGCTCGTAGCTTGTTTAGCATCAAAGCTTGAAGACATTTTGAGAGATTGAGAGATTGAGAGATTGAGAGATTGAGAGATTGAGGATTTGTAGAGCTTTTGACAGTATGTCGATAAGAGTAAAGTATTCAAATTGAGGAATGTAATGAGGAAGTCGTAATATGTAAGTGGTAATAAGTCGATCCTTTATAAAGTGGTGCGACAACTACAAGAATAATTCCGAGGTGGGCCTTTGAATTGATTATGTAGTTTCTTGCAGGGAGTGATCAACTGCGAGGTAACCCTAATTGGTAGGCACGATGGAAGGCGGAAGCTTCTTGACTGAATGCTTGGACCTTTTTGCGGGGAAGGAATGGACTGGTGGGCTGTACGGAGTGTAGGTGCTAAATAAGTGGGTCGCAAGGTTGATCTTTTAGGTAATCATCGACGGGAGAAGGCTTGATGAAGAGTGATGGAGTGATGGAGTGATGGAGAGTGATGAATGAAGTGAGAAAAGAAATTGGAGGAGAGCTTTGAAATAATCGCTGTGATATCTGGACACTCTAAGAAAGCAATAAGATATCAAAATATGAATGTGATGTTGTGGATTTGTACCGAATGTCTAGATGGATAGATGATGCCTCGACTCTTGATGCTTGATATGTATCACCAACTGATAGGTGTAACGTATTTTACATACCATCCACACCTGGTACATGCCATAGATCCTCTCTCTCACCTATCCAAAAAATGCCTCATTTATTTTTTCTTCCTTCTCTTCTTTTCTTCCCTTTGCTCGCTTTGCTATTTGATACTACCTTGCGCCAGCTCTTTCTCTCCTACTGCGCCTTCACGCATTCATCCCTCGTGATAAGAATGAACCTTGTGAAGTCAGAAAAGCTTGTTTTGTCACTACATCACTACAAACAGAGGCAGAGCCACTAAAAAGATTAGATTATCCCTGTATTGACAGGGAGTCACGAACCCTTTCCAGCGTCGCGCCCGGCAAAGCGGGATTTATGATAACCTTACTTTGTACATCATACATCGATTAACCTTACATCATATTAATCATATTACATCTTCTGCAGAAGTAAATTCATCCGTCTTACAATCATCTACTCTGACAGTCATCCAGTCCGTCGACAACATCGTCATATACGGCATTCACGATTCACGATTCATGATTCAAAATTTCCCATTCTCCATGGTCGTCTTTACGTCGTGTAAGCAAGAGGGCAACACACCTCACATACACTACACGGCCAACTCCAACATTCATTCTCACTACACCCTGCAGAAGGCGAAAAAGATAACATCTAATAAGTCCCTCAAACTAAATACAAATACAACACCACCCTATCACAGAAGCACCCGACTTTTCAAAAAGAGAACCGACATACCCCCCCTTTCAATTTGGCTCAACCCGAATCCGAATTCGAAATCTTCGGATTGCCTAGTAGCTTTCAACCACATGGCTTATCGTCCACCAGACCTTCTAGAAGTTTACTCCATCTGGCATTGATCTGCCTCGTGAAAAGAAAGCTGTGCCATGTTATCCGTCCTCGCCATCTTTCCTTTACGTAAGATATCATCCGCCGTGTCTCTTCTCCCAGAAACGATTCCTAATATCTTCTCTCTCGCTTTCGTTATAATCCATGTCACAACTCATTTGATTCCATCTCTGAAGATCTCAAAGCTCAGCCCTGCCAAGAATTCCTCAATCCCATCTTTGGGGATTTACCTAGAACTTTTAGTCAGTTCTTGTACCCACATGTTATCAATACATCATCATCTCTTCCATCGATTTTTCAAAAAGAATTCATCTGCCTAATCCATTCAAAAAATGAGTCTCAGCTTCCTAATTGAGTGTCAGTATCTGTTTGCGAGATCGGAAGACCATCTTCGTTTTTCTAATGAAGGAGGCGCAGTCTTCACAAATATCGAGGTTACTTACAAGACCTCTTCTTTTTGCAGGATCCAAACCAATAACGTTCATATAAAATATATTCCATCATAGCGAATATAATAATCGAAGCCGATCCATCCGACTCAACTTCGAAACTCCAATACACAGCCTATGTGCTTGTAACACGGAAATCTATCTTATGGTCTTGTCACTCTATCTGATCACAACATCACCTCACTTTATGGTACGGGTATCAACACATTAACTCCACTCCCCATAACTAATGTACTCACTGCGCCTCCTTTCTCGGTCTCGGTATCATACATCACTAGATCCAGGGTGTATGTAGCGACTATCCAATGGATGGGTTGCACGGCCGGCTTCTAACATACACTGCGGCTTTGATGTCCGAGCCATCAATCTCAGCCTTCCATTTACTATTCACAAACGAAATAATGCTTGCCATTGTGACACAGATGTTCTCCTAGCGGAGAGCCTCATAACGGACTAGGCAAGTCGGGATGCCGAAGCCGGCTTGGCAGATTTCATGTGATACTCTGAATCACGTGCATCGAATCAGCTCATTGGAATGCAATAACTTGGAAGTTTTAAGGATTTGGAGCGAAAATTCTGATGATATAAGTGTGCTAGTAGGGATATTCATAATACCGGAGGCTATGAGTAACCAACGTATCCATCTACTAGAGGAAGGCTAGTGTCTTTGTGTCACATCTACGCTCAACACTGCTCAGCGATGAGTAACGACGAGCAACGAAGAAAGAAGGTCCACATATATAGCATATATCTCCGTAAGTATATGGAGCTTGGTGCTTAATTTCGATTACGACTTGTTGATCTTATCTATCAGTGCGATGGATTCCCTGTGTGAAAATTATCAACAATAAATCTACGATGATACTACGAGTCTCTGACTCCTAGTATCCATTCATACGATCCTGACCACTTTCACGTGACTCAGAAAACAAGCATTAGTGATAAAGTGGTTACTGTCCTCTTGTAGAACCCGCGGTTTATCGTCGTTCTTCCGCGTCTGTTCTAGAGCATCAACGGAGATAGGCAGTAGCTTCTCTACATAGTACTTTTGAGTCATTTCGTTGTCCTGAGCTCTTACCTCCCACGCATGCGCTTTGGAAGTCTTTCATTCAATTCATCAATAATGATAATCCTCCTCTGTGTCAGTTTTTGGACATCGATGAGACTTCGGGGCAAAGGAGGTTGCTCAGTTTCATCTTGCTCGTTGTTTTTGAACATCGGTTTTTTTCTCTGCCTTCCCCACTAACGAATTGAGACTGCAATCACATGATCTCAAAATCCGAATATTGCGTCATAGAAATGAGTACTAACATATAGAGTCCTATCCTCATAATTCTGCTCTGTGATAATCTTCTCGGCACAGTAAAGGCACAGAGGTATCTTGCACCCCTTTTAAAATATCCATATAGCTTACGATCTAGCTGGCGTGGCTCCATAGACAGGCTGTGGGATTAATTTGAGCTGCACGGGGTTGCTTTCGCATCGGATCTCGCGAAAAGAGACGAACATCTTGTGTACAACAATTATTTAGTCACTTACGAGATCCTTCCAAGTATCTTCGACCTAGGTTTCGTTTGCTCTTTGCTATAGCTTTTTTCTCTTTATATTGCTGTTTCCAATCGCGTGTGGTGAAGGTGCGATGTTGCATTTTGCTGCAATTGTACGAAACGTCTTTTTGTCGCCTTGTAGGCTGATGCAGTGGAGAATGAGATTTTTCTGGGAGTACCTGTTTTCCTGCTGTGAAAAAGTCTTAGGGTTAGGTGCTTTGAACGGCTTAGAAAGTGTTAGTGATGCCAGAGTTGTAGACTGGTATTATCAGGGGTTCATATCATAGTTATGTGGGCGCCTCATGCATCAATATCTTACATAGTTGATGACTCTTTGTCACATTCTACCCTCGTCATAGAATGTCATATCTTACCTAGTACCTATCTCTTGCACTGTGATAGGTGCTGTTTACAATGACACCGAGTCACTAACTTCGAGACTCAAAACTCAGCTCAAAAGTGTGTCCAACTCATGTCACGACTCACGTCAACGCTTAAAATTTGAGTAAAGCAGTTTTGACTCATGTCGAAACTGACGCATACTCGAGTCAAGTCAGGGTAGCAGAAGAAGTGCCTACTGCCCCAAATGTGAGATATTCTTAGAGAGAACATCGCTGATTTCTACTAGGCCAACAAGTTCGCCTTCTACAAATGAAGAACCTGCAGTTCACGGTTGGGGAAATGCTGGAGAGGTAGCATAATTGAGGAGGCTGTGTGACAGGTGGTACATGAGACGAACTTCCGAAAAGTAGCTTTCTTGACATGTATCAGGTAGCTTACCCTAGGTTTGTCGATTGTACCAATATGACAACAGGTGTGTCGTGTTAATACAGGCCTCTTTTAACGGGTGAATGTCATAAATTTTTGGATTTGCTGACCAAGCAAAAACTGATTCAAAAAGTGTCAAGAATTTCTCGAAGAAAAGTGGGGCGTACAACTCACCTCAAAAACCCTGCAGTACTTATCACAAGACCCCTCCTCGTATTTCGAAAGAGGCAAAGAGGCAGTATCATGATCTGTGTTCATACTCTCTGCACTAGTAGCGCAAAGTAATATACAAGTTTCATGAATCTATAACCGTGTTTCAATATTATCTCTATTTTTTAAAGTACACGCTCCGCAATATACATAGGATAAGTATCCACCTATCTGCCAATATTGTAGAGAAATCAGTTCATATACCGCCTAAGGGCAGACTCAGATTCCCGGTAAGGGAATCGCTTTTGATAAACATCTGCCATATTTACAATTTCCTCCAAGCGTGTTCTCAAATTGGACTGTGGCCTTCTTCTCCATCTCGCGAGGCTGTCCGAGTCTGGTGTCAGGACAGAAGTACCAGGCCATGAGAGAAGGGCGAGGATGCTTCGCATGTATGGAAGCATCATCTCGGATGGGGGAGCCAGAGCCAGTATATCCAAGATTTTTTCGGCAAATCGATGGTGGAATACCGGTCGGAACCAGGTGTTGGCCATGATCGCCGTTCCCCGCACATGATCTGTTAAGATTCGCTCCAAAACGTCTTTCTGGGTGATTGTGCGATCTAATAGCAGACCAACCTCATCTCCAAGACTCTTGAGCTCCCCGCTGTCGAAGTATGGCTGAACATACTGATTAAGTAGGTTTATCGCGTTTTGAGCGTACTTAGCATCATTCAGAGCGTCTGTATATGCTTCGTTCTGTGTGACAAACTGGCGGCTTACTGCGTTATCACGTCTTTGCGCAAGCATCTTTTTGTCTCTGGGATGTATTTTATCTGCTCGTTCCAGCTCTATGTTAAAAACGCTGATGTTATGTTGCATGTCCATGATCTGGTTTTATTCTTTTTAGCTGCGAGATCAAATAGGGCTGATTGAGTTAATACCTGCTCATGAATTCTACCCAGACGGTTTTGCGTTGTAAGACACAAGTCCCGGGCATCCTCGAAGGGTCTGACGGCTGACTGTGCCAGATCTACCACGCTATGTGGAGGAGGTTTGAGTGCCTTGGAATTGTTCTGTATCCACTTCACTGTAAGACGGAGAGATTCTGGGAATTGTTGGCGAAAGGTTTCCCCATTTTGACTTTGGTTCCATAGCTCAGGGGGCTTCGCATCCGTGACCATCTTCATCGTTAAGTCGAGCAAGGTCGCATAGGCGGGGATGAGCTTCATGTCTACCCTAGCAGTCACATCCAAATGAACTTTGGCGTCACCTTCCAGCTTTTTGATTTTGGTTTGAAGCTGCCGACCTGAGCTATAGACTGTCAAAACGTCTACTATATGCTTTACTTGCCTTGGTTCCCTCCGAGTGATTGCGTAGAAGCGACCCTGTCTCCAGGTTGGATTGACTGGTGTATGCCATGGGCCGCCATTTTGGCATGGATGAGCAGACAAATTCGTGACTCTCGTGCCTGTGAAAAGGAAGGTTGGAACTGTAGAGAATATGAGCAGCTTCTGGTAAGCTGGAACGGTTCTTCGTAATTGCAAGCTCAGCATGATGAATAGTGTACTCAATGAGTATGAAGAACGAGAGCTGATAAGTTTATCTGTGGGATGATTGCTGCGTCTTCGGAAATCTGTATACGTTTTACATAATATATTGCCGCGAATCCGTAAAATAAGGGAGCAAGTGTTGAGATTGCATCTTTCTGATGATCTAATAATGGCGGGAAACTGACTTGCAATATCACCCTAACGGCACTGAATCTAGTTTCCTATAGGCTCAGATCTTTGATCTTGAGCCCTGTTCCGAATACCCTCAAATCTTACGAAATTGCAACGCGAAGAAAGATCTTCCACCTAGTTTCCATATCATGCTTTACTTCTACAAAATGACCTAAAATATTCATTCGGAGCTGAGTCTCAATCACTAAGCATGCGGGGAAGATCATCATGGGGTAATCTTGGATGAAAGCTGAACGTGTTGTTGAGCTTTACCCTACTAGTTCTTTGATGCGTTTGCAAACTTTTAAAAGTGGGGCTTGAACACTTGTCACTGCCTGCTTTGCATAGAAACCAATGATCGTTTTGAAAACAGGTCTGTCTCACACTATTGGACCCCTATATTCTAGGATTGGCAATACCAAGCTTCCTCAGCTGCTTTCTTCTGAAGTTCCTGGACATGGCGTGTTTGGATCTGCGGATTAAAAAGCTCAATTGGCACGAACGAACGGATGCTCTTTTCATGCAAGCACGGGATCTAAATTGTGATCAAAATGACCTTGTGCAGGTACCCTCCGCGGAAGCGTGCAGATCTTCTAATTATCTGCAAGGGATTTTTCCATTCTGTGGTTTTTGTAGCGGATTCAACCAATCGAAATGAGGCATACCCACTTTTTCGCACGACTCGCTGAAATCTAATTGATGAGTGCCAGCTGAACTCAGCTCAGAAGGAGATCAGTATTCTCCGTCATTGTTGAATGGGGTACAGCTTCATCTTCTGCGGCAAACAAAGCAGATACAAACTTGTATAAGAGGTATATTCCCACCTGCTTCGTAATCCTGTTTCATTACCGATAGAACTCAGAATACACTTCACATGAACAGTAACTCAGCCGATCAACATGTCGACCGATATTATAACCAATGCCCAGATGGACAAGCTCCGCGAGAAGGAGGTTGCTCAAGTTTGGCAAGTGATGGATGGTATGAGTTCATTGTCCCTGAATTTTGAACCCCCAGTGATTGACCATTGAGTATAGATATCAAAGCTAAGAATTGGGAGACTAATTTCGAATGGATGGGTGTTCTTTCCGTAGCACCGGCTTGCATTCAGCTGTTAGCCATGTGTGCTGCCGTCGCCGCAAGACCTGAAGCCTCAGGATTAGAGCTATATCATAATCCGGACTTTCAATATCTCCGAAAGTTAGTTGGTTCTTGTCCAATCTCTCTGAGGTTTGTCTAAGGCTGATCCACATTTAGGAACGACTCTCTTCAAGGTGCTCTGGTTCAAGTTGGTAACGTTGGTCGAACTGCGTTTGGCAATGCTTTCGAGCACATGGAAAATATCCACCAGAAATCTAGTGCCGTCGAGGATTCGGTAGGGAAGATTTAAATCCTCTCGCACTCCATGATGCTAACACCTATTGACAGGTTTATGCTATTTTTGAGGCACTCTCTAATCAAAATACCAACGTAGGAGTAGAGCTAAGGACGCTTACAAAATTGTCTGAAAATTGCCTCAAATCTGCTGAAGGGATGCTCAAGGACTTTGTGAACTGGGAAGGGATTGTCAAGGACCTTCATCAGGCATGTGAAGACCGAGATCAGGGAGCCACGCGAGCCATTTTGGAAAACGAGAAGGAAGCCATTATGAATAAAGCACGCAGAGAGCATTACGAGAGAGAGGAGGCCCGGATGAAGTTAGAGCTGGAGAGCAAGAAGGAAGAAGTTGCTGAATTGAAAGAAAGTCTCGACAGAGAATTGAGAGATTTTCCTCGTGGGTGTGTGAATTTTCTTTTTCTCGTGTCATTTGACTAGCACTAACATTTGCTCACAGTATGGAACTTGCAAAGATGGACATCTTCAAAAGTCTCGCTGACAGCGTGACTGGACTTTTCACGGCGCTGGGCAACATTGGGTCGGCAGTCGCGATGGTCAAAAGCGGTGGCGCCTTTGCCAATGCTGCCAACGGAATTCTGGATTCTGCTAATCCCTTGAAACAGAATACAGCAGGAAAAGGTTCAAAAAACACCGATGACAAGGATGACACCGATGACGAGGATGACACCAAGGCCAAGAGCAGTGTTGGGGACGACAAAGCCCATCTTCAAGCTGGATTGATTAGGAAGGCCCTGGAACAGCTTGAAGGTCTTTTGAAAGGCGACGACAAGGATGGGATCCAATGGAACTTGGTGACTGGCGTGGGAGACAGTGAAAAGGCTGCAGCGCGAGACGGGAGGCAGTGGGATTTGGTGATTGTGAATAAAATGCTTAACATGAACAGCGAAATCTTGAAAAAATCAAGTGATAAGAAAAACTCTAAGACAGGAAAGAAATTGCTTAGTGCAATTGATACAGTGGATCCGGTAAAAGTTCCCTCATTCTGAAGGTGTCATAGCACTGCTAATAGGTCCATAGGTACTTGACGACCTCGAGAAGTTGGCTAAAACTGCAAAGACGGTGGGCAAGGACTGGGAGCAGCCCACGGAAAAGCAAATTAAGAAGTGGCTTGATGTAGTGGAAGAAGGCTTGGCCACTGTCCAGGAGATTGAAGTCGCCCGGAAAGGATCCAAACAAGTCTCTCGGCCCGCTATGTCCCCAGTTAACCTGGCTCTCGCATCGCCACCTGCCGTAGCAGGACAGAGTGTGAGTCAGCATGTCGTGTCGGCCCATCGCTTCTTGGTAGAGACTGCGAGAGAGGGCCACACAACCGCCAAAATCGCGCTCGATCAAATGAAGAAAGACCTTGTAGAACTGCAATCCAACGTCAGCGAGATCACAGCCAAGGGGCAGAATCTTGCCGGAGCAAAGTTGACACTGGTAAGGGCATTCGGGTGTCAATGAAGATAAAAATGATTTGGTTACTGACTATCGTTCAGAAAGATATTAAGGAAGTCCTGAACGACTGCATAGACTACGTCATAACGTTGAAGGATCACATTACGCGCATGCTGATCTTTTTCCGCACGTTCAAAACCAGAGTGGACACGGTGATGATGTCCCAAATCGAACCATTTACAGGGAGGGTCGAGAATATCATCAATAATCATAAATTGATGTTCGATCTCATCGTAAGTAGTTATTTCCCACTAGTGCAAACATTTCCGACATAAACCACGCTAACTCTGCTCAGCTTCTGCAAACAAACGCAATTCAAATATGGGCCAGTTTCGAGCAATTCAAAGATATTGCCAAAATGTACAAGGACATTTACAACCCTCATCTGGTCGATGGTCTTCATCTCGTCGATCTCATGACCCGACTCCCAAAGGGATCGGATTTTGCTAGTCAATTGAACAAGATCGAGGATTGGAAGAAGGGTATTCAAGGCCAAGTAGACCAAATTGTTGAGAAGGTAAGTCCCGATAGTCAGAGTCTTTTATGCTTTTTCGTGTAGAATTGATCCATCAAATGCAATTGCTAATTCCGCTTTCTTCTTACCAGCAAATATTCGAAGTCAAGAGGAAGCTGAATGAGGAGGAAAAAGAATTGCTCGAGAGTCGCTTCAAGTTCCCGGACCCTCCCAAACGACAGCAGCTGGCAATTCAACAGGGGACCGACGAAGCCAGAAAAGAGATCAATTCTAGGATAGAGGACGTCAACCCAGAGCTAAAATACATGGGGAAAACTCACCAAGATCAATCTATCGAGGTAAATTATATAATAAAACTTTCGAGTACAGAAAAGCTAATGAGATTGGAATGGCAGGAGCTTAAGAAGGATATCGTGCAGCTTAAATCGCCTAACGAATATGTTGCGTCCATGCGCCGCCCAAGAAGAAATTAAGGAAGAGATAGCCTTGTTAGGATTGTCTCGGTAAAGAGAATGGCAATTTTGGGGTGACAATGAAACATATTTTCATATTTGATATACTTACATGCGATTAAATTACCTGATTTATACTGGAAAATGAGGTTTCTCTTCACAATATCTTTCGGAGAAAACGTTGCAAGTATCCGAATTGAATTCATACTAAGACGGTTGTTCGTAATTTGTAATCGTAACATAACTCGCGTCTAATCTCCCCCCCTTCTTGGCTCTCAGCCATGTTTTTTGCATCGTAAATGTTGCCTCTTATCTGCATCTCCACTCCCATCCTATTCTTTGGCCCCTATGCTTTCTATCACCTCTTCCTTTTCATTTTTCGCTAACAGCACCTCGGTCTCAAATTTCTTTCCATAATACTCTGAAGTGGCCCTAAAAGCACCTTCTTACATTGAAACTATCGATGTTTGGAGATGCTGGATATGCTGGATATTTGAAACAAAGGTGTCTATGTGTATGAAGAATGTGACCGTAGCGGGGAGATCGAATGTTATGATTGACGAGAATCGGGTATCTAGTTCGGACGGCATTTCCACGGAGTATCTGTGAGCTTCGATAGCCCATGATATGTACATATAGAGATGACAAGGAGAATGTGAAATAATGGGGATGAGATGAGAAGTACATGTACCTCCTGTACACACATCAACAACTCCGTCCCAACGAGAGAAGAATTCCTTCTCGAAACATGGCGTTTGAATATCTCTACTTCCCAAGTTCTAGATACCGAGATTGATAATGTATAGAGTCTCAAGCGGTTGTATGGCTGTCTTATCGGATGTTGTTCTGGGTATGCAATACTTATGTACATAATTGAGATATCGGCAGTGGTTATGTATGTGCCTTTCTTCTGCATTAGGATCATGGCCTTGTGAAACGTTTTATCTAATCTGCTTAAATGATTACATGACGCGGATTTCAAGTAGGAGTTATACTCATTTCTGTTCCTCGAAGAGCGGAGTAGATACGTCGACTTGCTTTTTTCGATGACTTCTTCCCGGAGTGAGAGGGATTTTACGAGGTGGAAGATATTGGTTCGCTGGTTGGTTGGTTGATTGAGAGGGGAAAATATAAGTGAGGTAGTTATTTCTTCGCAATGATATTATGGTGTTGGTGTTGGTGGGGATACGGAAAAGGCTAAGCGAGCGATGAGCACGATAGGAAGTTCTGCTGCTAGCATTGTGTCATTGAATGTAATGATGACATGCTGGTTGGATCTACCTCGGAATTTCTTTGCAATAAGATGAGCGATTATGGAGTTTTATATGGTGATTGATAAATTAAGGAAAGCATCATATCAGGCTTGTGTTGTTGATTATCTGTATATATATGGCAATGTTTGTTTGAACGTGGAATCTCAAGTTTGGTGGAATGACTGTTTTTCCGATGGGGGTGATAATTCGCTTAATAGGTAGGTAGTGCTTATCTAATAAAATATCTTCAAATTGAAGTGTGGAGTATGGATATGGGAAGAGTATGTGAGGTAGAAGTGTGAGATTGGAGTTGAATTTGAATCTGAAATTGAATTTAATGTTCTGGGGTGCCTTGAAGAGGGAGTAGGGGAGAGGGAGAGGTGGTGGAAGGGTTGGGTCCCGTCTAGCTCTAGTAATTTATTTATACGATAGATACGGGAATCGCAATGATTTGATTTGGATTCCGGAATCGGGTGTGTGAAAGATATTGTTCGTGTTTGAGTTTGTGATGGAGAAAAACTTTGTTTTTGATCGGGGAGAGGGGTTCGTAATGTATATTCTGAGGGAAAAGGAGTGTGGTAATGTAATTTTCCTTTTAGGGTTCGCATGGCTGTGAAAATGGTCCTTTTTGAACATTATACTTTGGTTTCTGGTTGTGTTTTGGTATCGATGGTTAGAGATAGTGTTGTGCCGGTAATGGGTGTGGTGGTGAATATGGTATCTATGATATGCTTGATGAGATTTTATTGATTGTGTATTGTCTATTATCTAAATCGTTAGATCAGTAGTAGGGAAAAGGTCATTCAAAGAGTGTATTGAAAATTTTTAGCGCGCGCAACTCATAACATTAAAGTTTTTGAACTAACTCGGTATCATATGGAATGTTTGAAGCTCAAGCACCCTGATAGATAGGTAGTAATTGGATTGATTGTAATCAGCGAGGGCTTTTCTAATTGAGTCGGCTGATGTGGTTGAGGAGTACGGGTTTGGTTATTTTGATTGATTTGGTTGATTTGTCAGGGGTTTTCGCTAGATTTTCTTGTTGCTAGGGTGGGGATGTAGACTGAGGGGAGAGAAGCCCGGAGCGTGTGTACTTCCTTGCTATGATTTCCTATACTGGCTCTTTTGAAACAAGTTTTGGGTGGGGCTGTGCATATTGGTTCGCACGCTATTATCTAACTGGAGCTGTATACTCAGAAGTGAAAGAGTGGATATGTACTTGATATTTACGTTATTTATAATATTGAGATAGCATTTTGCAAGATGCTTGCTAGGACCTGGGAATAGTTTCGTTGCTTATCGCGATACTGATAGAGAAAAATGGATGACGGTGAACAGTTTTGACATTTGAAGAAATCTTATCTGTTGTTTTGTTTTCGAATTTGGGATAATTCTGGAATTTTACGTTGGCAGCGCTGCATTTTTGTTTGACATGAGGCTTTTCATATCTTCTTTTGTGAGGATCAGGAGAGTTTGGTTTGATTAATCTGGAAGCTGAGATATCAGGACTCAGATGATGTTGTTTGGCACTTGGGTACGTGAGCCTGCCACGTTACTAGCTACATTACACTCATTAGACAAGGACCTAGTTATGAGACAATTGAAGAAGTATTTTAGAGAGTAGCAAATGGTTTAGCTCGTATACTTGATTTATGCAGAGTTTCAACCTCCTCACGTAATCAGGGTACTGGGATGAACTTTTGCCGTGATTAACACATTCTTGTACCCAAATATCTTCACCTAGGAATTTCACCTCACAACTTTCACAATTGCAGCTGGAGAAGATGAATCTCTCTCTTTTCATTTAGTGTGCAGCATATAAGTTTCCTTGATTGAGTATCTAGCTTAAAAGGACCCTCAGCTGAGATACATATGGTAGACTTGCGAGAGAGCTAAAAACATTGTATTTTAAAGCTTCTCGGGCTTCTCAAACAATATCTGAACAAACTTTCGATATGCAACAAGATTTAGATAACGCTGAGGCACACACTTAATAACAAATATTGAGTTCCGAACCAACGCAACATCTGTTTATCACTTCTCATTATGTCCTTCCATCCTCTCTATCAACACCTGGACCATCGAGCTCAGATGAGTAAAGCAAGCTCCATCTGCATACAGGCCCAATAAGATGATGTCATGAGAACTGATCAAAAATTAGCCTGGGAAAAATCCGCACAGATAAGAGTTTCCTACATTGCTTAACATTCATTCCAGTACCAGTTTTCACCTTGATCCTCGCATTGATCCTTGAACTTCTGAATGTTATCGCCATAGGGATCGCAGTAGTATTCGGCCCAGTGAGAACAATAACAATCGTCCTCCTTGAGATTGTTACAAATCTTGTGGGTGGCATCCCACTCTTCACTTACTGATTTGTCGGGGTTCTTGCACCTGTAGGCGTTGTCTCCACAGGCATATGCGGTGGTTGCAGCGAGGAGGATTCCGAAATAGATAAACTTCATGATGAAACTGTTGGGAGGAAGTCTTTGTTTGATATTGAGAAAAGGTAATGTTTTCGAAGTAGCTGTTGGGATTTGATGATGTGAAAGTTGCTTGATGGTTCTGATGTGATTATCTGGGAAAGGCTTTTTATATACAGAGACCTCTATCGAAAACGAAGCTTCAGGAGGTGAAATCCAGCCTGACGTCGTTTTCTGCCAGCAGTCTCACTTTTTCCGCTTCAGCCTCCATGACATGTCGCTGGTAAGACACAGTGTACGTGATGATAATCCATATTTTCTGCCTATTCCAGATAATTTCAGCTACCTACTCGCATTATACTTTGGGCTATCATTTTCAATTTTCGTCGCCTGGCGGTCTGAGTACCCCACAAAATATGGTGCAACCAATTACATGATGGCTCTTGCAGTGCCTCTGTATCTCATCAGCTACGCCATTCATATTAGCCTTCGATCATTTTATGTATGATATCTACCCAAATTCAAAATTGGGTCACAGAGCATCATAATACGATTGTTAGCTTACCCCACACTCGGTAAGCTCACCGGCATATCACGCTAATTATGAGACCTCCAGAACGAAGCCGATCATTTCCTTTTGATGATATAATCAATAGCCTGATGCACTGATCAACAAATTGTGCCTACTCGGCATCTTCCTCGAACGCTAGTTTTACCCCAAGAACCGAGAGATATATCACACCCGAGAGATCACTTCCTAGAATTAATTCTCCGGCCCGTCCCGTCAGCTGCTACTTGGCCCACATTCCAAATTCGCTCGAATATCCTTGCGGGACATTTCTTCATGTTTTGAATTCTGGATAGATAATGTAAATATTATAAATTCTGTTTTTGACAAAAGTTGTTGCTTCATCAAATTTCAATCCTACTGTTGGTATCACCATGGGGATGGTGAAGTCAATATAGTACTATGGTTCACACTGTTGTAATATTGCTTGAGGTTCTAAAAGCTAGGGCTACGAAACGTATATGCTATAGTGCCGAGGCATTAGCGCTTGCGCTAGTACGGTCACATGATCCCTGTCCCGGCACCTACTTTAATTAATTATACTAGATATCTGATTATTTTCCCCTCAAATTTTTAGATTTTGAGCTTTTTTATTGAATTTTTTAATTCAAATAACATTCAAGCTTTTTAAGCTTTTGAAACTTTTGAAGGTTACAATAGATTCTAAATAGATTTAGAATAAGATTTTAAAAGAAAAAAGTATTAATTTCAATAAATTTGAATGATTTTGTTAAGGTTGAAATTAATTTATGATATCTTCATTATTTAGAGTTCGTTTTATGAATTTTCAGTTAATGTAAAGATATAATCGGTTTAAATAATAAAAATTGGGAAAATTATGGCCGCTTTTTGGTGTGTTTTGCAATACTTACGCCATCAACGTCCGTAAATCAACAGTTTATCCTTGCTATCTCTCACAGTCTTTAGAGAGATCTTCCTTCTTCTTTACATCGTGTCAGCGATGTGTGGGTAAACACCTTGCCTTGGAAATCACGATGCTGTGTAGTGCGGAGTGTTATGCGTTACGTTGCTTTGCTCAAGAATGATGATTCCACTTAGTAGAATTGCATGAAATCACTATTCATCTTTACGGGGAGGATACGAGGACAGAAATGATAGTTTTTGATACTATCTCGTGTTCGTCATTAGGATCCCGTGCTTTGATGGAACTTTCTTCCGTTTTGATAGTCACCACCGAGTCTGTTCATATCTCCTCAGAGTGATGTTACTTGAATGTCTCTTGATCATGCACAGAGTAGTCAGGATTGAATTTCGGATTTTTTGATTCTCTACGCTTCTAGGGACTCAGGGACCATAAGATTTTTGTATTCATAAAGAAGAGAGTATAGAAATCATCAGATGTAATTGTAAGTACGCTGAAGAAGAAGCTAAACGTAGGACACAAATGATATGAATTCGCTTTCATGAAGCTGATCTCCTATCGAAGTAAATGATATAAAACCGGCAAGAATTTACTTCCAGTTCATCGTGGGCAATTACAGTCCGTCAAAGCACCATACAGTGTACAGAAATGCTGCTGATTTTTCATCTCATTATCCACAAACAGCTGCAAAACTGCACCGAGAAGCGCGATAAAAGAATAAGATGAGAATAAGATCACATCTACTTTCCCACTTCCCTTTCACAATTCTTGAGATCGAAGTCTCAATCCTTGATATCCAACTCTTTTGGCAGTGTGCTCATGGTCACCTGGGAGTCCGTCCCAGGCTACTCTCTTCGCTTCTCGGGGTCCTTGGTATCGAACTCGTGGAGCTGTAGGTCTGGACCCTTCAGCTTCAGACTCTTTTTTCAATCCATCCCATGCGACTCTCTTTTCCTCAGGTCTAGCATTCAACGCATCATATCGAACTCTCTTCGGCTCCGCCTCCCACTTGCAGAAATTGATATTCAACAAAGCCCCCTCATCAACCCACAGACCACCACCCCAGTCATCGTGACATCTTTCCACCACTTGCAGAAAGGCAACAACGCAGGCTTCTTTGGAGCTAAAATTGGCCACCTTGCCAATATTCGCCGTGTTCCCACTTCGATCTTTGTACTCGGTCCAGTCTCCCACAAGCTTGCTCCAATTTTCATCGCAGTAGTTGGAGCCGAATTGTGATAGCTCGCTTTTTTGGACACATTGCACTTTCCGCACGCCCTCCATGTAGTTGTAGCATTGGCCTGCGAGGACCGTTGAAGAAAGAGCCAGGATACTGGAAAGGGTCAAAAAATGCATCGTGTGGTTAATCCGGCGTCGGTGCTGGGTTGCGCGGGTCAGTAATCTCTGCTTCTCTCGACTTGCAAGTAATGAAGAGCGTACCGGTTGTTTTTAGTCTCGAAACAAATTCTACTTCCTTGACGAGAAGAAATATGGATGAAGTATATTTACATTGTTTTAGAGGTCAAGAGTCGACGGAAAGATTTTGTCATTTATAGTAAGACTTGTTACCAGATACCCCATATTGTAAGAAGATGTGATGAAACATGCATCATCTATCAGCTGAATCAATTGCGGTGTAGCATTTTGAGAACTGGAGAATTGATAATCGTTCTCCTTTCATCATGTAGATGGATGGCACACTGCACAAGCACCCGACGGATGATAATCTCGCAAAAGTTTGTCGCCGAATTCCGATTGGTAGCTAGCCCCCTAGCCCTTACATTGGGGATGACAACCTAACTACATAGCACTCTGCATAAATACGAAATTGCTCAGGAACAAAATGCAAAGTCATCTCAAACTAGTCAGATACATGACATATGCACGTAGCACAAGACTTAGTAGCGCTTAGCTTGCGATACGTAATGCAGCATAAGCGAGCTAATGCACACTTTAATCCCTTCAGCCAGCCAGTTCACAATGATCTGCATGATATCTTCAAATTTGAGGAAGCTTAATACGAACACTTGGAGCTGAAACTACAATACTGAAATTGTCTCACGTTCCTTCTTTAGGTAGTAAATTATATAGAGTCGATCGAGGGTTTATCGTTGCTAATGCGAGAATTAAACAATGAATGCTATCTCGGCAAGACACCAATTTTATCCATTGCTTATGCAAATTTGTACTATTTGTTCGTGAAATCGTCAAGTTATAGTTGATTAAATGAAAATTTCACTTTTCTTAACGTATGCATTCCCTTCGACTGAAATGACTAGCAAGAAAACAATTCACACCTCAGTATTTCTTGAAAATCTATCGCGAAAATTTCCCAGCATTCATAAGACGCCAACTCTGAAAGCTTTATCAGAGGTGTTGATGCTCGTACTGGGCAGTACATCTCTTCCATATTCTTGCATCAACTTCCACTAAAGCCATGAACTGCGGATCATTCAAGGTATCTCTTCGACTTAGCCCTTTGAACACTGCAATACTTGCTTCGGCAAAGGTTGATCACTGAATCTTTCTCGGGGCCAGCACATCTCGCCACGTAGCCTTGGTCTCTGTACCGGAGAATACTACTAGGTTTCTAACAGCGGGTGTCCTATTGACAAGAGCCAAAAGCCGAACAGCATCACAACTAACAGATAAATCCCGCCTTTGAGATTGTCCATAATAATAAAAATTTAAAGTTCTTCCCCACACCCACAATTTAAATGACACTAGTGTCTCTGTCGAAATTTGCACAACCAATGGGTGTGCATTTCTGTCGTGTGGATTCACGTTCATGATCAACCAAGGCCTGCTGAGGCATGACTTCGACGCTATTTGAAAGAGCAAACTATCAGTCCTTCCGAGAAGCTCGACATGGCTCAGACCAAACATGTGCAGAGCTTCCTACAACTAAAGATGCACTAACTTCCCCCTTTGCTTTACGTCAACAGTCTCAATCTTTCATAGGTGATGACCCATGTAATGGTAGCATTAACAGGAAATATGTTAGCCAGCCAGATGAAAGGAATCATGGTTGTTGTAAGCATCAGACGTCAATTTTGCACGATTAAGGTTCCATGGTATAATCCTGGACCTAGCAGTACGAAGTCGATCAATTTAGCGAGATTCTGAATTTCCGACAATCACCAAGCTAGCCTTGCCTGGCTAGACACAAGTCAACCCCCTCAGGTTCAAAAGTAAATCTATATACCATACTGTTCAAGCAACGTTTAATCTGTTATTTACTAGAATGAAGAGTGGCAATGCCCCATTACTGGCCGTTCTCCGGAAACAAATATCGCGTGTATAATCTCGTCTTGATGCGCTTTCATAGCCCAGACTCTTAGAAATTATTCACTTCCGATGATGTCAACTCCTATGCCTAGTGTTGTGGTGATATGAGAAGCAAAGATGATCCAGCTTCCTAAAAGTTTGTTGATTTTCGTATGTTTATCAGGGAAGAGAGACTTTCTCCTAGACAGGCTACCGGTAGAGCAGGTGACATGAACTTTATAGAAATTAGAGAGTCAAATTCGCTACAATAGGGAACTACGATCTCTCATGACGATGTAACCTCATCTCTTAAGGGCAAGAAGAGTCAGAAGGTTACCATCCTTTAGGTCGGGGGACATTTTAGACAGCAAAGTCAAATCTATGCCATGGCATACTCAAGCCTCAAGAACACGAACTGTTATGAATGCTGCCTTGGCAGTTCCTCTTCGTAGTACTCATGTCTACTCAGGCAGTGGTAACTCATGGTTTTATGCTGTGTTCATTCAGCTTTAGTTTTCATTTGCTGCTTACCCAGGTCTTAAAATGACATGATTTTTGGTTCTACATTGTTTGCTACAATTAGGCCTTCTAACAATCGTAGACAATCAGGCAAAATACGGTTGAAACGAGCAAATTCTCAGGTAAACATTGAAATTTATGTGCCAAAGGAAGCTGAATGGAAACACATTATAAAATAAGAAGATTATGAAATGACAAATTTTTGGTCTCGAATTGCCATTAAATATTTGTAACCGTCCCCGAAAAATCTCTTTCGATAGGCTTAGGCAAATCATGAATTGCACAGATCACTTTCGCAGCCCCCAAGTCGCCTCCCGTGCGTTATTCTCATCCAAACTCCATATTCTGAAGATTTTGGGGGGGGGGGGGGAATTCGTTGCCGAAAGACAACATAAACTTTCCTCAAAAGTTAAGATTCATTGTAGATATTTAGTTGATTATTGATCGTTGCGAAACAGGAAGCTCAGAATGATGATCTAATCCACAGCCGTAGTACCTCTCAAACAGAGAAGCATCAAACGCAAAACTTACTTCAAAAAACTGGGCTCATGAACGGTCTTGACTTCCCAACTATAATGACCAATGCTGGTGAGATGGTTCAATGGGTACGTAACCAGACCTACATGGAGAAGATCGTTCTGAGGCCACAGTGGTGGTAAAGCCATGATTCCGAATAGTGAGTTCTAGTTGTTTCTTGAGCAAATATCTCAAATGACGGACACGTAAAAACACCAATATCCAACAGCCAAAACATTTCTGAGAATGGAGTTTCTGCTTGCAATGGACCTGAAAAGTTTAGCCCTTGCTCAGACGACCTTTCTAGTCTCGTACCTACCAATGGTGGCATCTTGCATGATGCCAACTACGGTCTTTTCCCACCATGGGATTCATTAGTCTCAACGCTGCCATCAAGAACGAATCCACTGGTCTCCGTGACATCGACGCAACTCTTGATCTCTACAGCACCAATTATGGCTAAAGGGCAAGTGGCAGAAGCAGCAACTACACTGCTGGTTTCTTGTCCCGCTGGTCCACTGCTGCTATTGCACGTAACAAACGTTTCCTTACCTTTGCTCGAGGTCGTGCCGATGCCATCAGCAATTACAACACCTCTGATGCGCTCTTCGACGATGATGAGAAATTCATTATCCCAGATTCTAACTACTTGGGACCAAACAACAAGCTCATCTACCAAGATACCTCGTGAGTTCAATTGTACCCTTGCCTCAATACACCACTAATATGCCTCACTTAGTCTACTCTCCCACACCACATACCCCCAACCACTCATCCTCAACAACGGCACCGTCAGCACCCAAATTATCCATACTTTCCGTGTTGTTAGTGGCTTTAACATCGCCTCCTTCTTTGACGGAGCCCTCAAGACCACGATTTGCCGCTACCTCCGAACCTTCGCCATCGCAGTCGGTGCCGACCACAAGATCAAGGCAGACGGTATCGACGGTATCCAATGGAGCTCCTCTCACACGTTCTCTATCAACGCTATTGAGTGTCAAGGTCCCAGTTCTTTTGACAGGTAACACTGGGAATTACGGGTAGTTGAATGCCGAGAAGGTGCCGAACATACCATCAGCCCATGTACTGATTGCGAGACATACTCTGGACAGTACAACAACACCATCAAGAACGCTTTCAATCACCAAACCGCTTGGTTGGAGAAGGCTGGTCACTTCATTCAGATTGTCGATCTTATAATTTTTTGGAATTCTCTGCAAAATTTAATCAAAATTGTACATGTAGAAGAGGGGTTGAGGTTGTGTACATACATGTGCTTCTATAGATGAACGTCTGCCTTTAACGATTTCTAGATTATGATCTCGATTATTAATATCTCCCGTGATGATAACCAAAACTTTCTCATGGCAAAGGATATTTTAGTCTCTGGCTAGAATCTGCAACAGAATTGTCCAACTTCAAATTCTCGCGATCTGCTAGGTTTGAGCTGCAGTTTGTATCTTTTTTTATGTATCGGAACATCTTCATCTGGCTAATTACCACTGCAGCCATGTGGCACAGTCAGGAGAAGTGGGTCGAAATCCCCTCCTCCACTACGACATACCTGCCCTCTTTCCTATATCGAAAACAGGGATATTCACGATTATCTATCCATCCAATCTTTGATCTTGGTAAACAAGTCAATCGAAAGATCTGGTACTAATTCAATGTAGTTCTACAATTGAATCAAGGGTTAAATCAATCGCAGAAGTCTCGAGAGATTTGCCCGACCCCACCCAAGATTCGCGAAGGATTATTCAACCCCATGACACCGGTGTAAGCACTAAACCTCGGCGGCAATATCTTTGCTTCAGCTTTATCGTTATCGTCCTAATTAAGCTCTACAATCTGTATTGTATGGATCTGCGGAGATGCCAATTTAATCTTAAAGTTTAAGGTTTTTGGTTATGTTACATTCTCATCCTTCTGCTTATTTTTGATCCAGGCGGTATATGTTCCTCTGCCCACATCCTGCTATTTTGCTTTTCGTCTCTTTGTACTGTTGTTAGGAACTCACTCTTTTCTTCCTTCTGAAATGAATAGTTTATGAATTGATCGAAGTCTCTCAAATTCCGACATTCCTTGTTGAAATGGTGTCCACTAAGTTTCCAGATCAGATTCTCCAAACTTCAAGTGCAACAATCACGACTTGGTTGCCATTATCTACAGCATGGCCTTCCACAGCAGCATGCTCGAGTTTGGTGTATATTGGTTCGGGAAAGATGCCGCCAAAGTTTTTGGATGGGATCCCTTGTATCAAGCTGTTCTTGACACTGGTTCTCCGCGATGTTTTGCAGATGAGATGGCCAGTTGGTGGCTAGAGCCATCGAGCGTTACGATATCTTTGGGTCCGACGTTCAATTGTCCTGCCGCGTATAGCACCGTTGCAACTTCCGTTCATAGTGCGGGTGTTACACAAGTCTTTTGTTGTCCTACGTATGTGATCACAAGATTCTTGCCCATTCTGCAAGAGCGATTTTGTCGGGGAAAATAACTAACATTCACAGCGATTATAATCTTTCAGTCTTAATTCCATCGCATTCATACGGTGACTACCCAACACAATGCATGTCCACCCTCACCGCCGGCGACATCCTCAAGTATCAAACTGCTACCGGCGGCATCTTCCAACCCACAAGTTTGACAGTTGGCTCAACACTCCTTGTACACGGAGAACACATCAATGGATGGAACATCGACGATGCCGTGTTTGCCTCCATGATAGGCTCTTCACAAACAGCAACAGCAACAGCAACAACAACAACAACATCATCTATCAGCACAACCTCCTCTACAGCCTCCTCCACAAACAGTGTATACACGACAACTATCAGAGAATCAGGAGCCATGATGACCACAAAAACATCAGAATCCGCCACCTTCTCCTCTCCCTCTTCAAACTCCCAATCATCCTCATCCCCAACCCCACTAACCAGCCCTACTCCCAACAACTCTACTGCTATTGCAGCTGGGGTAGGCATAGCTGCCGCCGTCATAATCCTCGGTATTGCCGCTGCTGTATTCCTCTTAATACGACGTCGAAAAAAGCGTGCCCATAATGTGACGCAAGAAATAGATTCGAAAGAAATCTATACCTCTCCGCCATCGTTTGGTCGTGGACCCGCTGCGAATGAGTTGTCGAATGAGATTCTCCCTAGAGAAATGGATGGGGGTGTTAATGTGATGAAGGAGTATTATGCTCCAAAACAGAATGTTCATGAAATATGAAGAACGGCGGTTTTCGTGGATCATTTATTTGGGGTGTTGTTGCGTCAATGAGTTCGTGTGCATATTATGATTGATACCAAGGTTTGAAGGGACCACTTTGTTTTGATGGAGTATGCATGAATGAGAATATTCTAGTACTACTCATTGGACTAAACTAATTGAAAAAGTTCCAAGTATTCCCAATGGATGAAAGAATGAATACTAAAGCTATTATTGACAAGTATCAATATTACTCAGTCGAAGTTGGTGATTATACCAATCAGAAACCCCGTGAAAATAATGCCTTCTAATTTCCCCGCCCTTCAATTCTCTAACGCACATCCTCATACTCCACGTTTTTTACCTCCATATCTACCGACTACCTTCTTTATACCAATTCACCATTCGTGTAAAATCCACTCGATTCTATCATCTCATCTCATCGCCTAAATCCCCACCCCCGGTACTCCCCCTAAAACAATTCTTCTCCTCCTCTCCGCCTCTCTCTGGTCCGCTACTTCTCTCCTCTCCTCCTCCAGCCCCTCCTCCCACCTCCCACAACAAACAAAGCAAACCCAATCACTCCCTCTATCCAACCAATCCTCCACTTTCCTCTTCGCGCCTATGATTTTGCATTTCCAACAAAGACCTTCATCGACATCCTTCTTCTCTTCCACTCTCGCAGCACTAGCAAAATTCCTCTCAGAAATCCCCGTTCCATACCCATCTCTAACCATCCTCAAACCCGGACTCCATACATTCATCATCCTAGCCCCCGTTAAAATCGGCACATTAAGCGCTTGTTGTTCACCCCTCTCTACATACGGGATATGCAATGCACCCGTCATGAAATACCCGCTCGTATTCGCACTCGTGTTTGCGGATGCTGATCGAGATGTTAATGGTGTACCTGGAGATCTTGTATGAACACTTGAGCGACTTTCATGTTCCAGATCGATGATGCCGAGATCAACATCGTCTCGACTTGTATTTGGGAATTCGGCATTGCTATCGCTGATGAGAGAGGGAGAGAGGGATACTCTGCGAATCGCATCGTTATCTCTGCTGATGCCATGATTGGTATCAATCAAAGTAGGATGTCTCTCGCCAGAATACGTAGAAGCATGAAGCGAAATGGCTGAATCGCCCATCGATCGCAAGCCTCTTATACTAGGCATCTGCAGTTTAGGAAGAGTTGCCACAGATGGAAGGGGCAGGTACTGGTTGCTTCTTGGGACTTGATAAGTCTCAGCTGGAGAATTGAATCTCTGATTTACTTCATTCATAGCTTGTCTTCTTCCCTTTCTATGCGGACATCTTGGTATCTTTATTGGTACAGAATGAACGTTGGAATTGTGATCGACTAAGGGATGAAGAGCTGTCGAACTAGTTGCTTCAATTGCGTGTTGTAAATTAAGTATTTCGGAGTCGCGGGCAGTGGCTGAGGGTGTGAAACGAACGAATTTGGATTTAGCTTTTCCTTTGCCTTTAGCGGTAAGGTTTGTTGATGTCGGTGGAGCAGCTGAGGGAAGTGAAGAGGTTCGAGGATGATGGCTCAAGATTGGTGCTACAATAGGACGCGTTGCTTCGATTGGTGGTTCAGAATCAATCTTATGGACTGGTGCACTGCTGAATGGATGAGTATCGATGGCTGAGTATACACTTCTTGGGGCTCTGAAACGAGGAGGGAGTCTAGTGAGTCCCGGAGCCGATACTACTCTCCCGGTGAAGAAAGATCTCGCAGGTGTTGATGAAAGCGTGAGCCCTGATGACGGCATTCTTAGAAGTCTTTGAAGGCGAGTATGATGAGGTACTAAATGCTGGCGTGGACCAGGTCTTTGTGCTTCAGTCCAAGAGGGACATCCTGGTGGTGTATCAGGGCGTTCTGGGGGTGCAAGAAGAGGTTCTTTGGGCTTTGCATAGACCTCGTGGATGGATAATCTGCGTCGGGCAGCTTGGTCAATCATGGCACATGCTTCGTGATAGGAATCCTTAATGCACCATATGTCGTCAAGACTGAAAGATTGCTTATTTCGAGGACGATTTTTGGCTATTGTAAAACTATCACGGTGACCAAGAAGTGGAGAAGTAGAGATGCCATCTGCTGATTTTGTACGAGCGACGCTACGAATTGTGGATATGTCATCCGCTGATTTGGTACGGGTGACACTACGCATAGTGCCATAACTTTTTTGTTCCGTTATGGTATCTAGGATCGTACCATGACCATAGAGAAACTCGGTGGTGGTTGTAGTTTCGGGTTGAATAGAGATTGATGTTTGTTTCATATTTTCGTCATTAGATGGAGAAACCTCGCAGGCTGCTTGTTTAAAACGTGTTAATGTATCAGATTTGTGTACACTGTCCTCACTATTACTATTGGAAAACAAAAATGCTTCGAATATTGAATTGTCAGAACTCAGCGGAGATTCTTCCGAAGAATCAGGGATTGCTCTGATGAAAGATCCCTTGCGTCGAATGTTATTTGCCGGCGTCTGCTGAGATGATGTTGTTCTGGGCAGTAGAGGGTTTCTACTACCAGTCGGCGATGAAGGATTTGGGTGTACAACTGTTATAATATCCATGACGTAAGGAATGATATCCAAAAGCATGAAGGTAGAAGCAATGCAAGTAGCGAATGAATAAGACAAAAATCAGAAAAGCCTCATATGCATGGAGAGTAATGTCATGAAAAAAGGAAAAGAAGTAAAAAACCCAATAAATATTTTGTGTAGAAAATTAAACTTTACAAAGTGGTTTACCCTGTCGTGGAAGGAACTATCAACTTTCACATGCCAGTGTCATTCCTTCCCAATCAAACGCCGACGCTATGGTAAGACTATCTAGATAAAAGGATAATTTTTCAAGTTCCCTCAACACCTTCAGCCGCTAACGCTTTTCGATACTCCCTCGATGCCTTCTCTAAAGTTTTGATGGTAGGTTGCATCATTTCTCCGACTACTTTTGAACCTCCGCCAACGGAATCAGGGTTCCACTTTATTTTCTTCCCCGTCTTCTCCCAAACATCTCTTAGATGTGCTTTCTGTCTCTCGATGATCTCATCTCTCTCATATTCGGCATCAGCCGCGACAGCATTGATCCGATCCATGGCTCTATCAAGTGTTTCAACCATCTTTGCAAGCTCACCTGCCCGATCCGGATCTCCTGAAAGGAATATAAGCCAAAAATGATGAAGAAATTCGACAGTAGTGGCATGTGTCAGTGTCAGTCTATCAAAAAGCTTTTGCGATAAACCCGCTAACGCGGATGTAGTACTAGAACCATCCATTTCTGTCCGTCGTGATGCGATCCCCTCAAAAATTTGTTTTTGGGCATCCATCAGACTTCTTTTGCTTCCGACATGAGGAGTCTTATGTTCTTCCTCTTCCTCGCTGTCGCTCTCTTCATTCACTCCGATAGCTGTCCGCAGATCTAGACCGCCAGCGAAATCAACGCCCATTAATGTGGGGTCGAGATCAGATTGCAGACCAAGCAAAATATCGGAAGGTATTTGCTTTGCATAAAGAGCGGCTTCTTCAGATATGGCAGACTTTTCGCTTGAAAGGAATTGGCTCTGCTCTTTGATGTTGAGCATGATTCTGTTCTCTTCTGCATCGCCCTGAAGATCTCTTAATGCCAAAGAATTGAACGTTTCCTCATCCATACCGATAGGGTCTGCGGGGTCTACATCAGATGGGGTAACATGAGCCATGATTTTCTCGCTCAAGCTATTGAGAGTTCGAACAATCGGTACTTTTCCCGATGCTTCGGGTCGCATTGTAAAGTCCTTTCGATTGCCTGCTCTGATACCCCCTTGGTTCTCTTCATTGCCCTCAAGATCGATAATGTGAGGAATGTGGGTAGAAAGGAGTCTTCGATCGAGTCCATCATCAGTATTGGCATTCAAATACCTATCAAAAGTAGGGTCAAGACTATCTTGTTCACTAATGCGTTCCCCCTTGAGTTTTTTGAATAGGCGACTGAGGAAAAATCTTGACCAAAAATCCATCTCATTGAGTTTAGGAACATTCTCGTCGTAAACTCTTTTGACTAGTGGATGTTGACTGAAAATCAGTTGGACTTGCTCCGCACTGATATTCATCTTCAGCTCTCCATCAACTTGACGTGGTTTTACGGCAGACAAGACATTGTAAGGACCCCTTTTTTGGCTAGATTCAACTGCATGAGCTCGCAAAAGGTTTGTTCGTGCAGACCAAAATTGAGAATTGAATTGGGAATCTGATATCGTGTCTGGCTTGGTCCGTCTTGCTTCCATATAAGTTCGCTGCAGTGCTGGATCCTTCTTCATGAGTGATTGTTGCAACTCGATATCTGTCTTCAACTGAGCATCATCATAAAACCTGGCATTCCCAGAACCAGGCTTTGATGCTACAGCGCTTGCCATTGCCATGGCCGCGGAAGCAGGCCCAGGACCATTTGCCTTGGGCACATTTGAATCCGCCGCTTTCAACGCACTAATCAAATTTGTCAAGGCATCTTTGATAGCATTCGCTTCCCCACGTGGATTTGCAGGGGAATTGAAATGGAAAAGATGGGTCACTGATTCAGGTGAATTTGCCGACTTTTCAAAAACTTTCAACATTACCTTTGCAGCGGTTTCGGGTGTCTGCTGCAAATCTGAAAAATGTTAATATATCAAGCCAATGAAACCCCAAAAGCCGAGTAAACCTACTGGTAATATCTTCTACCGCAATATTGACTGTAACTCCCCCTCCATCCGCCTTCAAAGGTAACCATTGAATGGACTTTTCGTCTTTAGATATACTCAATGTCCCATCTTTTTTCTTGTATACGGCAAGCCCTTGAGGAGGTGGCGCCATGTTTTCATGCAAGACCCGAGTATGCACGTTATCGCGTACGAATAAAAGAATATGGAAATGTTCTTCTTATAGTACAGAGGAAATTTTTGTCTTCACCAGAAATACAAGGGAGCAAATCGAGGATACAAGATGAAAATGGAAAGAAGCCTGAAGGTATTTGTTGAAAGAGTTCTTGACCTTTTTAATGTTTCTTCCTTTTGCCAAGTTGCTCTTATATTTTCTTATGTCCCCCTTGTGGATTTATATTATACTATTCCATTCAACGAATAGAATGTACTTGGCTAGATAAAGATATCCAGGCAAGTAGTAAATGTATGTGTGTAGTCAGTCGTATGGAAGATCTTTGATATCCCCAGGTGCCTTGCCGTATTTTGAATTCAGCCTTTCAATGAATGATGACCTTTGTTAATCCAGCCAGGAATCATTAAAAAATGCTGACACATCAATAATGGTGGGTGTAGATGAGCTAGTCTTGTAAAGGCTTAGTTTTATTTATTTTTCTGTTTACCTTGGTTAAAATGGAAAGAATCGGAATTAATAAATTCCGCTTCATCCTTCTGATTCGTCCGGGTGAATTTTTCGGCATGCTATTTCTTGACTATTGCCTCAATTCTGAGGTTAAATATCTGAGTAACTGTTCCACCCAAAATCTGATTCGGTGCGATCATTTGACTCGTCTGCCATTTCTATCCGAACTGTTACGCAGTTCTTGTATTTTGCTTAAAAATAAGACTTACTCCGCCTCTCATTTTCAACTTTGGTTGAATTCAACCTCCCTATTCCATCCTATAGAATACCTCTTGGTTCGGTCTTTTCCTATTCGCATTGGCAGGCGCAATGCTTCGAACTACACTGAGGCAATCGAGCAGCCAGCTCTTGAGAGGTGGCTGCTCTGCTAGAACTCTGTGCACAACCTCAAGATCACCTCTCTCCATCTCGAATGCCACATCGAAATCCGCCCTCTCATCGAAACGACGTTCTCTAGCTATTATTTCCCAGAAGAGACATGAGTCGACCACTGCAAGTGCCCCAGATTCAAATGACAGTTTTTTGTCCGGAAACACCGCAAATTACATTGATGAGATGTATATGCAATGGAAGGAGGATCCATCGAGCGTGCATATCTCATGGCAGGTTTACTTCAGGAATATGGAGAGTGGTGATATGCCAATGTCGCAAGCTTTCACCCCTCCCCCAACTTTGGTTCCCACACCTACCGGAGGCGTACCAAGTTTCTTGCCAGGCTTAGGTGGCGGAGAGGGATCAGAAGTCACAAATCACTTAAAGGTTCAATTGTTATGCCGTGCATATCAAGCTCGTGGACATCACAAAGCAGACATCGACCCTCTCGGTATTAGAAGCGAGGCTCAGGAATTTGGTTACAGCAAACCTAAGGAGCTCCAACTCGAACATTATCAATTCTCGGAGAAGGATCTGGATACCGAATACTCCCTTGGCCCTGGTATTCTGCCACATTTCAAGAAATCGGGTCGTGAGAAGATGACCCTGCGCGAAATTATTGCCGCATGCGAACGTATCTACTGTGGTTCGTATGGTGTCGAATATATCCACATTCCTGACAGAGAACAATGTGATTGGTTACGAGCTCGAATTGAGGTTGACAAGCCTTTCAAATACTCAATTGATGAGAAGCGCAGAATCTTGGATCGTTTGATCTGGAGTTCAAGTTTCGAAAGTTTCTTGGCTACCAAATACCCCAACGACAAGCGTTTCGGTTTGGAAGGTTGTGAGACCTTGGTTCCTGGTATGAAAGCTTTGATCGACAGAAGTGTCGATTTTGGTGTTAAAGATATTGTTATTGGAATGCCTCATCGTGGTCGCTTGAATGTTCTCAGTAACGTCGTTAGGAAACCAAACGAGTCAATCTTCAGTGAATTCGGTGGTTCCGCTGCTGCTGAGGATGAAGGTTCCGGTGATGTTAAGTACCATTTGGGAATGAACTTTGAGCGCCCAACTCCTTCTGGCAAACGTGTACAACTTTCCTTGGTCGCCAATCCCTCCCATCTCGAAGCTGAAGACCCTGTCGTACTCGGCAAAACTCGAGCTATTCAGCATTACAACAATGATGAAAAGGACCACAAGACTGCTATGGGTGTTCTCCTCCACGGTGATGCTGCCTTTGCTGCCCAAGGTATTGTATACGAATGTTTGGGTTTCCACTCTTTGCCTGCATACTCTACAGGTGGTACAATCCACTTGGTTGTCAACAATCAAATTGGTTTCACCACTGATCCACGTTTCGCTCGATCAACAGCTTACTGTACCGACATTGCCAAGTCAATTGATGCTCCTGTCTTCCATGTTAATGCTGATGATGTTGAGGCTGTCAACTACGTTTGTCAGTTGGCTGCCGATTGGCGTGCTGAGTTCCAACGCGATGTTGTCATTGATCTCGTTTGTTACAGAAAGCATGGTCACAACGAAACCGATCAACCTTCGTTCACACAACCTTTGATGTATAAGCGCATTCAAAAGCACAAGTCCCAAATTGACATTTACATTGATCAACTTCTCAAGGACGGTAGCTTCACCAAGGAAGACATTGATGAGCACCGAAAGTGGGTTTGGGGAATGTTGGAGGAGAGCTTCGCGAAGAGCAAGGATTATCAACCAACATCAAAGGAGTGGACCACCTCTGCCTGGAATGGTTTCAAATCACCAAAGGAACTTGCTACCGAAGTTCTTCCACACAACCCTACCGGTGTGCCAGCTCACACCTTGGAGCACATTGCTACAACAATCGGTTCATA